TTCCTTCTTCCTGTCTTGGACAAGGAGCTGTCAAGAAAGGGAACTGGATTTTGTTTCCTCCTGAGTTAGTCTTTCTGGTGTCTGCTTCAAACTAAGTTCTGCTGCTTGAGTATTGCAAAGAAAAAAATTTTGAAAAAAAATCCTTCATTGGCTTGGAAAGATTTAAATCTATTCAACAGATCACAGAACATTTTGGAAAATATAAAGATGGATGAAATTGTGCATGGTTATGATTTCAGAAATGTTATGAACATTGTAAAAGTCAAACTTCTCCAAGTCAAATTTCAAGGAACCTGCAAACAAATTTGACAAAGGTGGAGGCTTCAACTTAAGGAGGTTTTCAATTATATTGGTTTGAATTACTGCTGTACAATTTATGCAAAGCCCTTTTTCAGAGAAACTTAGAAAAATGTGAATGGCAATATTCTGGGTCTTAAATGGCTTCTTAAATGAGTTGAAAGGCTGCCAAACTTGGAGGCAAGGGTTCATATGTCTAATTAAGTCTTTCACTTCCTTTAAAACACATGAGTTTATGTTTTTATTGCTTTTTTTCTTTGTTGGGTCAAGAAAATAATGGCCAACAGGACACAGCAAATTTGACTTACGGAGGCTTGAGGGGGGAAGAGCTTTTGACTTGGGGAGGTTTTTAATGTATTGTTTCAAAAGAGATTCAGATGGAGTCCTGAAAAAAAAATGCAACTTAGAGGGGATTCAACTTAGGGAGGTTTGAGTTATCAAGGTTCACCTGTACACAGTTTATAGGCAGAACTTTGCTTTTTCTAGAGTATTTTATACTGTAAAAGATTATGTTATAACCCATAAGATGTTATAAAAGTTCTGGGATATTTTCCAATTGAAAAAAAACTTTTTTCAATTTCCTGCATGGTGATCAGTGAAAACTTTCCAGTAATGGCCCAAGTTCTCTGCTGGTGTCACAGAGTGTCAAAAATTTTCAGGCCAGCTAAAAAAGGCATTTTTTTTTACCATATGTTTTCTACATTTTAGATAATGGTTAAAGCAACAATAAATTAACTTTTTTTTTAGTTAGCTTCAAAGATTTTAGTGAAGGAGAGCTCTGATGGCTGACATTGGGAAGTTTTCACTTGCCGTCATGTGGTAAATTGAAAAAATTTACAATTCTGGAAAAAAATCCAGAACATCACATGATTCAATGAACCTTAAGAGAATCCTTGTACTCATGAACTGTATTAAACTTTTCACCAGGTAAAATACAAGGACAAATATGAAAAAAAAAATTATGTGCACATTCCCCATATTTCTGCTGCTTTTTAACAGCGCCCTGAAATATATCTATAAATCGAATCACAAAAAAAAGAATTTTTCAAGAAAAATATTTTTCAATAAGCAGCCCAGGTTTTAGAAATTATTTTTCTGTTGACAGCTGGTGGCAGAATTTTTTCTGATAAAAACCGGGATTTAAAATAAATTTATTAATATGTGAAATTTTACTTTAAAAAAAGTGTGTGTGATTTTGGAAATTGTGATTTTATATACTGTATTGGGTGTTTCCTTATATCAGAAGATAGAGATTTGTGTCAAATTTTCTTTCAATGTGTTCAGCAGCAGCCCAAAATAAAGTTATGTGTGATTCGGCGTTCAAACTGTGTCTAATTTTGACAATCTCGCAGTTTCTTTTCATCCTATCGCCAATTATTCCCGCAATTTCCTCGCATTCAACTAAGTATTCAGCACATATCCCATCATCGTCATTGACATCAGCAACTTTACCATCAATGAATCATGGTCATCATCAGCACAACAGAGAAGAAGTGGAAATATCTGCGCGGAAACTCGATGGCGGGTTTTTGGCAAAGCTCTTCTCTGCTGTGCTGGACGGCGGCGGTCGATTCCGCCAATTTCCATTCGGATGCAATTGCGACCGCAATTATGCCCCGGTTTGCGGCACAGACAGCATGACTTATCCGAACCGTTGCTATTTGCACTGTCGTCGGAAATCTCTGCTTTCCTCGGGCTCAATTGGCACGTCACTTTGCTTGGATTTCCCTGCTTTGTGTTTTTTTTCTTTCTTTCAATTTATTGATTTACTGTAAAATCTCTTTCCAGCAGCAAATTCTCAGGGATATGTTTGAAATATTTTAATGCATTATTGTAGTTTTTACACATTTTGGGACCACAATTGTCTGGGAAATGGTTAAATTTTTATTTTATATTTCATCTTCTGTTTAACCTAAATACTCACCAAAGAACTTATCATTGCAAACTAATTTTTTTTAATTAATTAGGAAGAATTCAAAATATGAATTATACTTACAGTTGAACCTCTTTAAGTTGAATTTTTAGGGACCCAGGAAAAAATTTGACTTCAAGTGGTTTTGACTTGCGGATGAGGTTTACATTTTTGAAGGTTTTGGGTTAAGAAAGCAATCATTTTTGCTGCAAGGATGAGTAAAAAAAAATTGTGGGAAATAAAAATTAGGATATTCTGGACCTAAACTTGCTTCTTAATGAGTTAACATCAGCTATAGATGAACTTGGAAACAGGGGTTCATTTGTTTAATTAGTCTTTTACTCCCTTTCAAAATGCATGAAATTGTTTGTTTCATTGGTTTTCTCTGTAATATTTCAAGAAAATAGTAATAAAAAGGCCTAAGAAAATTTAACTCACAAAAAATTTGAGAGAAAAAGACCTCAAGTTTGGGTATGATGACTTACTCTTAATTAGGCAACTGGTGCTGCTGGACATGTGTTGTAATTTTTATTCTCAGTAAAGCCAATTCTTGTTTTAACAATTTTTACCAGGTCCCTATGTGGAGGAGTTTGTTCAAATCAGATTTTACTGCACAGGTTCTGCAACAGTGGTTATTTATGTTACAAAATAAGCTGTGTTGTATATATTTTTATAGTTGAATTCTATTAGGTTCCTCTCTCTTATAGGCAGTTGACAGTGTAAAGAAACAAGTTTGAGGGAGTGGAGTTGGGAAAAGTTCATCTATAGAAATTTTGTAGATGAACCCTGTATACTTTACACACAATAAAAAAATCAATTGATATATAAATATATTTTCCCTTTTGTTTTATTCACTTTTTTATTTCAGGAATGAGAAGGTCCTCAGATGCAGACCAAGGTGAAGATGGATTAGAGAATCGTGCTGTGGAGTACCATCAGGAATTGGGTCCAGGAGCAAACCTGGGTTGCGGGGCTCTGCCGGACGGCAGTGATTATGCGGGCCACGTCGAATTCACGCGCACTGGCAGGCGCTGCGCTAGGTGGATCACCCACCGTGACACCTATCCGATAACGCCTGAACACCCCTTCAGCCCAATTCAGGACTACAATTTCCCAGAGGTAAGATGTCGCTGTTAGTCTGCGAAATAACAGACAAGCGTGATTGCACGAAGCTATAACTATTGAAATTCATCAGCAATCCATTGGTGCTGCCGAGAACTTTTGCCGGAATCCTGATCGCGACAGAAGAGGTCCTTGGTGCTTCACTGGCTCTCCACAAGAGCCTTACAATTTCGACTTCTGCGATGTACCGCGTTGCGACGACCTCTATGAACTTGGAGGTATGCTTCCTGGTCCTGGTATCGGTATTGGGGGGATAGGTGGGGTTCAGAGCCCCGGAGGTGGATTCGGCCTCTTCGGCGCTTTCGGTGAGTCATCTTTTATTTCAAAATAGCATGTGATCATGAAAACAGCAAATAAAACAGTAGTAAGCAACTGACATTTTTGTTTTTTATTGTAAAAAAAAGGTTTATCCATGGCACACGAAGGTCCGTGTCGAGGAGGTTACGGTGGGTCTTTTCCACCGTATGACGACCCTCTGCATCATCATACTCATCGCAGGCTGGAGGTTTCTCCAGCATCATCATCAGCATCACCTGAGCCCAATAAGTGCACGGATTCGCCACTTTATAAGCATCAGTGCAAAAAATTTGCCAAGGATGGCTACTGTTATTCAAACTACACGTTCATGAAGGCTCACTGTCCAAAATCGTGCTTCTTCACCTCCTGTGCTGAGACCAGCACAAGTGTATCATCAATCGGCACTTCCGGCCCAAGTTCAAGCATTCCTTTAAGGTTCCCGAAATGATTCCGCGATTATATTATTCCAATAAAAATAAAATAATGAATGAATAAACCTGCCGGTATGTAAGTAAATTGTTTTACTTCGATTTGTGTACCTATTTTCTAGCTCATTGTCGGTATTATCACCTGGTCTGAATTCGACGTACAAGCAGCACTTCGGGGAATCGAAGGGCCGTATATAATATTTGCTGTACATCAGCTGTATACTGTACACTATATATATAGAAGTTCCACATTGCGTACTTATGTACTGTATGCTGCATGTATATTACTGTACAAAGTTAAAGTACATAGTGACGCAAAGCCGCAAGGATTGAATCTTATTCCAACAATAGCAGGGTAAAAGCTGGATTGATGCATGCTCATTCCAGCTTTAATATTTGACAAACATTGGAAAAATGAAAGATACCTTGATTTTCTAGAATAAAAAGGTTAAACATTAGCTCTTTCATCCCTGCGTAATGTTCACTGGAGTAAGGGTCACATCCAATTTTTTCTGGCTAAATTTCAAGGAAGGCCATACCAAAGTTCATTTCTGTGGACATATAATACTGTATAGTACCTGATGTCCTCAACTGTCCATGACGTGTGGCCAGAATGCGCTTTGATAAATTCCAGGAAGTATGTACAACCTCAAACCGAGATGGCGTTCCGTAGTAGTCCTACTGGGAAAATGGACGGTTAGAAGTACCGGTAGGTCTGGTGGTTAGTGGAGTTCTGGAGCTATCTTGTGTTTTAACATGGTGTCTTGTTGCTCGCCCTCTTCATCCGCGAAAGCTGTGTTCTGATCCAGCGAGGTAGATTCGGGAGAGATCAGTTGCTAGATTGTGCTCCCAAATGGTTTTCGGCGTAGTGATGATTTCATTTCTCGTGGAAAGATTTACCGATCGTGTATGCCATGTTGTTGTAGCGTTCGTTCTGCGGTTTCAGGCTTGAGAAAAGCTTTTGCTTGGATTTACTGCATTTGACGTCATAAATTGACTGATTGACTCGAAAATGAGTTGGGGACGAGGCGCGATGGCTACTGGTGGCTTCAGGGGTCGTGGAGGCGGCAATCGCGGTGGTTTTGGTGGCGGCGGTGACATGGGACAACGCCAAGATGTAGACGTGTGTATTTTTCGAAATGTTTTCCCGAGTTCCGTTCCTCTACGTATTCATATAATTATCATAGTTTCAGTCCGATGCTGGGTTTGAAAACCGCCAAGGACCACCCTTCAAACGTGCGAGGTACGTGATCATAAGAAAATACCATCGAATCTTATTCAACGATCACTCAGTCCAGTTGAGCAAATACATTCATAGCATAAATCAGTGGACGTTCCTCCGTCAGAATTCTGTCTGTTGGACTCCGAGAATGAAATTGCTTTCTACGCGGAGCTGGAGATTTTTGCACGCAGTATTGCTTAATTCTTATCGCGTTGGAATTTCAGAGCGGAAGAGCCGGAGAATCGCATCATTCTCTTGACGATCGCTAAGCCGAATTATCCTATTACAGTGGTATGTACTCAGTTCGTAGCCTACGGCATCTCGAATATTACTGTTGCTTTGTTCGTCTTACAGGAAGTCATCCATGCCATTTGTAAGGAGTATGGAAATATCTTGCGGATCGTAATCTTCAAGAAGACCGCGCTTCAAGCCCTCGTTGAATATCCTTTTTATAAAACGTATGCCGCGTATTAATTATCATGAATTTTTATTGTTTGATCCTTAACTTCGCATTCTACGTTTGAGACGTTGGAATCCGCTCGCGAAGCTAAGGATCAGCTGCAAGGGGCCGATATTTACTCAGGTTGCTGCACTTTGTCTATTGAGTTCGGAAAGGTAAGTTAGACTGAATGTACTGTGTTTCATCTGTGAAGTGATTGACATTTTTTTTTCGTAGCCTCAACGATTGAACGTAACCAAGAATGACAGTGAAACGTATGACTTCACCAATCCAAACCTACCAAGCTCACGTGAGTTGTAATTTTATCTTCCATATTCAATGAATACCACGCCTGTTGAACGCATTTTTCAAGTCAAATGAAGAAAATATCTCACGAAGTTACAATCAAATATCAGCATACCGTGACAAGCGACACAATTGAGATTTAATTGGAAAATTATATCCCTCAGTAATCATGCTACACATCAGTGTTTCAATGTGATGGGTACAGTTACGTTCACAAAACGTCATTATGCTCACAAGCTTAGAGGAATTGTAGAATGCTAGGCAATGAACTTGCATAATGCTACAGCTTGCGGTGCAGTAGTAAAATTTTCAAGTCCATGAAAGATTTAGCTGATGCGATGATCAAGTTTTCTCCGAATACAGTTGGAATCATTTCACAGACACCCACACCGGGCAACAGGCAAGTTTACTTTATTGTCATAAGAAACTTCTGTTGACTGTATGTGGCCGCGTTTGGAGTGGGTTGTATAAATTTATCTTGCCTGAATGATTCAAGGATTGAAATACTCGTCGGGGAAGCAGCGCGTTATAATTGTCGAAGGATGTTCGTAATTTTGAGTCGTCTTTTTTTTTTGCCTGGAATGAGCCACGTGAACCGTAAAAACGAAGAATTACGCTCTTCTGTTTTTCATGATCTCCAAACTGAGTTGAATCCCAGAATTCACAGAGCCGCTACGGAGATCAACATCGTGCTCCAGTTGAACATCATATCGCCCAGGATACCATGCTTAAGCGCTTGATTATCTCATGCACGAAAAGCAAACTATATGGCCAATGAGCCGATTCCCCAGGAATCCCGCTGGATGCATTCACGTCTAGGATTCGCGATATCAAGAGGCCAGGTTTCTAAAACTTAAGGTCGGCGGGTTTTTCTCTCGCTAAGCTTGATAAAAATCCGCCTAGAGAAAAGAACAAGCGACTTTCCTGGCTCAGCTTTTGAAGCTGAGCCATTTTCGCTATCGACTCCGTGAATGAAAAAAGATTTCACAAAGCCAAGAAGCGAGGCGAATGTCGTAAGATGCACATCATGTTTGACTCGACGCTTTGTAAAACACACGTAAGAAGAAGAAGACACAACGTCAGTCAGCGAATGGATGCCGCAGGACGGAAACATTGAAGAGCGGCCGAGAGATGATAAAAAGCCACAACCGCGATTGGCTTGTAAAAGAAACGAAAAAAGAAAAACAGCGAGGCACGACATGGCGTAAAGAAAAGAAAAACGAGGGAACAGGCTGACACAGTGGTGTCTGATGCGTGTTTCGGTTTGGCGTTTCTAGGCTCGCGTCCATCCGAGAGCAGCTCAGAGGAATGAGAAAATGGCGTCGCAATGGGTCTTGGCCAAGCGAAGATCGGTCTGCCGAATGGCGCCCGGAGAGGCACCATCGCTTCGCCCGACCGACTTTCTTGGGGGATTGCCTTGTACTGTTCTGTTGTTTCTTTTTCCTTCTGTCGGCGAGATCTGAGCTGTCCTGTACGCACGAGATTGCTAATGCTGCTTTTTCTTTTTTTTTTAGCACCGCTTCTTACTCACCGATGAATGCGTTGCGGATACTTCTAACGTAATTTTACCCATCTGTTCAGCTTTTATTGAAGAAACAGTTCTTAGCTTTGTCCGAAGGAAATTTAACTCAAGTGAAACGAGGTTTGATCGCGTTTCGAGTTTACTCATTTTCTTCCTGTCGATAAATATAGGGCTGCCCTAGTTGTCCAGTGGGAACTTTCAGTGACAAAGAAACGTATTTACTGATGCACTATTCATTGTACAGTGTATTGTGTACAGCACATGTATCTACCGCCGGATTTATTTGATTACCACGCGATCTCAACTAATACCCACGCCCCAATTGTTTTGTGAACTTCTTTTAGAAACACACAATCCCCCCCATCTCCGCATAAAACCCGCACTCCATTTTGTGTTCACTGAAAATCACGAATTCTGTGTGGATCCAGTTTTTTTTTATTTGATCGTTCGTTTTTCCTGTTCTTTATTGTCTACAGGAAATAATGGCAGCTTCTTCTGTTGGTTTCAAATTCTCTCCTTCATATATTTTAGGTTTCTTCTCCATCTGATCTTATCAAAGATACAATGTTAGCTGTTGAAAAGTAATATTCCTAAAATTGTTATTGCTTGAAGCCTTGAACCATTGTTTCCCATGGTCAAGGAGACTTGGTACCATGCATTTTCGCCTAATTATTTCCCTCGAAGAACTACCTGTACTTGCGTATGTTTTGGGGATTTTTCTTCTGAAGAATTTAATCTCAGGTACTTAGCGGAACCCTATCCCCCTCCCCCCACAATTTCTGGTTAAAAGTTGCGCGTGGTACGGGTAAATATGGTGTACGTATTTTTTCTTCACGCTCATTTTTCATGATTATTTTTTAATTGAGCAACTAATTCGGTTTTACTAAAATGGGAAGAATTTGCGTAGACTTTTCATGTTATGCTAAGATCGGATTTTGTTGTTGCATTTTTCCTTCTGCTGAACAAACTTCCTTCCTCCTCAACATGTTCACCGAGAAATGTGCAGAAGTTTTCAGTTAACTCTCATGTTCTATAATTTTAAGAGTTATGCAAAAAGGGGAATGAAAGTCTCCCATTTAAAAGTCTTATTCTTCACTCGGTGGGACTTGATCCCGGAAAAGTCGACTAAATGACAGTAATGCTCGTTGTACATTGACAATTTCTACCATAATTTAAGGCAATCCTAATCCGCGGTATACTCGAAATGCGATCAGCTCCCGTTTTGTTTCTCAAGTTCTTCACACTTCGTTTCTTCCTATAACGATGCTTTGACCAAAGAAGTACATGCATTCCCTGAGAAGAAAACGAATTTCGTTATGAAGAGTCGAACTCCTCATCCTCGTAACGTGCAATACTTTTCCGTTAACGGATAATGACCGTAGAAAAGGTTCTGCCCTAGTTCTTGATTTGTCGATCCGCAATTCATTCGATCCGTGTGGTATCCGATCAAAAACTGTTCTGCACGCTGATCCGTGTTGAGTTTGTCGTTTGCCGTGCTTACTTGAGGTTCGCGTGGGATTGCTTTCGGGTGTGTTGCAGACGACGGACGCCAGGACAACAGCGGCTACGGTCAAGCCCAACAGCGAAGGACACTCCTCAATAATCCGCAGGGCAACGGCGGGGATGCCGGATACAATGCAGGTGGTGGAGGCGGTGCCGTTGGCGGCGGCGGCCCAGGATACGGCGGCGGCGGCGGCTACAATAATGGAGGGGGTTTCGGCGGAGGTAAAAAGCCCTTTGGACCAGGGGATGGGATGGGAGAACAGCAAGGGTATCGTGGAGGGCCGGGTCAGGGCCCGCAAGGAGGAGGAGGAGGGTTCCCTGGAGGAGCCGGGTATGGAATGCCTGAACAAGATTATCAGGGTAGGCCTGCGCAGAATTTCGGACCTGGGCCAAACCAGGGTTTCGGTGGGCCCGGGTTCGGCGGTGGTCCGGGTGGTCCAGGTTACAATGCTGGCCCGCCTGGAGGTAACTACGGCGGTGGCATGGGTATGAATCAGGGCGGCGAATACGAGTGAGTATCTTCGGTTATTGTCGCAATTTTTGAAATGAACTACTGTACTATGAATAACTTTGCCTGACGTTCCATCATATCTGTTATTGGAAATTCGATATTTCGCGTGATTTAGATCGCTTTTTCAGACGGAGTACGTTGGTACGTTAGCTAGTGTATTGTTTTTTTTTTCCTCCCCCCCGATTACATGAGAACAGGTCCCAAAAAACGAATTCGTTCTAAGCTTTAATTGGTTATTACGCGATTTCACTATGTGTGTTCTGCAGGGTGATCCACGCCCTAAACGCTAAAAGAGTAACGAGCGAAATATTTCGGGGAGTTATGAATCTACAATCGTGCCATTCCTTTCTCGAAAAGGTTGAAAATCAACCAATTTTTCGGCACCTGGGGATGGCCCTTCCCTGGCAAATACCGATGTGATTCCGTAACTGCTAAGATAGAGGACAATAGTGCCGAAAATCGTTTACCTGAGAATTCCATGAATTTGTCCTTTGTCCATCTCATGTAGGCAAACAACAATCTTCCGTTTCCGAAGTGCGAATGATTCCACCTCCAAATTTTCCTGATTATATTGTCATAACTCTCCAGACAAATGTTTTTGCGGTTTAACAGCGTGTGAAACTCCTGTGTATCACTTAGGGTTGTTCAAGTTAATTCAACAGATCGGATTCACTCATGCAAATCATATTCGTCCGCACGTATTTCGCTTTATTTGTTTAGAAAAAAACGATACTGCATTTGTGATCTTGACTACGGCAAAGCTGATGGTGTGGTCTGTATTGGGAGCATCTGAAGAATTGACGGGATTTTCTTTTTAAACAGCATTTTCGGCATACGTTTTTTTTTTTATGCGAGAAAATACCATCTTGACAATTCTTCTGAGTTTAGAAGTGGGGTATGGCCTTTTTTCCGAGAAAGCGGCGATGTTATCGTTCATGATTCTTATTTCAACTCATCGATTCTTCTAGTATGCAAGGATGGGGTCCAATGGGTCCTGGGATGGGTCCCCAACACGGCGCTGTCCTAATGGTTTACGGCTTGAATCAAGAAAAATTCAACGCCGATAAGGTCTTCAACCTGTTCTGCCTTTACGGTAACGTGAGAAAGGTAAATTCTGCGTTTCTTCACATTCAGAATATGGAGGGATTTGTATCCATTTCGCTGATTTTGCATAACGTACGATATTTTCTTTTTAGGTGAAATTCTTGAAGACAAAGGACAGCACAGCCATGGTTGAAATGGGAGACGCTGAAGCTGCTGCTAAATGTATTGAAGTACTTCACAACGTCACTGTCCTGGGATCGCAGTTGCAGCTACAGCCGTCGAAACAAGAATTTCTCACCGAAACTGGACGTCCATTCGACCTCAATGATGGCTCCAAATCCTTCGTGAATTTTGAAAATTCAAGGAATAATCGATTCACGAGTCCAGAACAAGCTTCGAAGAACAGACTCGTGGCTCCCACGAAGGTAATGCGATATTTCAAAGGGTTGCCGAATATAGATGGGCATTTTTAGCGAATAATCCGTGATTTATTCCTTTGTGTGGGTTAGGTTAAAGAAGGGTTACTCGATTTTTGCATGGATTGCTTGAAGTCCTAACGAATTTATGTCGTTATAAGTGCGGATTACAATTAAGTACTGCATCTTCGTCGATGACAATTTTTTTAGTTTGTGAAGGAACGCGTAGCTCTTTAGATTTTGCTGATGTGCTTTTTTTCGAGAATCGCTGGAAATCGAATCACTCCGTCAACTGAAGGAATCATTTTTCACGAGTTGTTGTCGATTTTTTTCTAGTGATTATTCCCTCGACGTCGTAATTTATTTCTCAGGGTTATTTTCAATTTTAATGCGATATTCTGATAACTTTTTTTTTTTAGACCTTGCACTTCTACAACTCGCCGCCGCACATGTCCGATGATGAAGTGAAGAAAATTTTTTCGGATGCCGGAGCACCGGAACCAACGGAGGTCATCATGTTGGAGACGAGAGGTAAAGGTTAGAAAATATTGAGAGAAACAATTGATTTATGCGTTTTAAGTTCCTTCAGCTGCTGAAAGGAGCTCCGCCGGCAAGGTAGTTTTTGCATCTGCTGAGGACGCCGTTGACGCATTGACGCTTGCGAATCACACAGCTCTTCCAAGTCCGAGTAAGTCTTTTTTTCTGTATCAAAGTTTCTTCGGCTGGATTTTGAAAATTGCCGCAATAATGAAACAAACGCTGTGCAAGTAATTGTGCTTGACTCGCTTTCGTCGAAGTTTTTTTTCTTGCTCTTGACTGATCGGAAAAGATTTGCAACCCTTGTGAGCTATCGAAAAAATAAGGACGTGTTTTTATTATGATCGTAGCTTCAAGACGAACTCGCATCTGAGGATTTTCGTTGAATGTGAAAAATTTTATCTCACTTGGTTCATCCGGCGCAATGATTCCTTATGCTTCGCAGTGTAGGGTAACAAGCTTTTTTTTGTGTGAAAGAGAAGGAAGAATTGCTGGACATTGTATATGGCCTTAAATTTCTTCTTAAATCAGTTGTCAGGATAGTGGAATTGGAGGCAAGTGTTTTCTATTGGTTGGTATTTCACTTAATTTCAAAATGCATCAAGTTGAAATTGTATTGCTTTCCTCTTTCCTCTGCCGGTAAAATGATGACTAAATTGCTTCCAGAAAATTCGAGTTATGGAGGTTTGAGGAAGAAGGCCTTCGGGTTACGCAGGCTTTTAATGATTTTTTTCTATGGGAATGTCAGACACCAATTCAATGCTTAGAATTGAAAATAATCCTGCCTAGGGAGGTTCGAGATATCGAGGTTCAATTGTAATTAAAAGCATTTTATGCCCGACTTCGTGAACTACGACTAGGATTTCCATTCTATCTCTGTGGATTTTAATGATTTACTGTCGTCTTGGTTTTTTGCAGACGGGAAATCTGTGTACATCTTCAAGGTGTGCTTCACTGGGCAAGGAGGCATGCGCGGACCCGGGGGTCCCGGTGGTCCCATGGGCGGTGGACCTGGCGGACCCCCACGTGGCGGTGGACAAGGTTTCCGCGGAGGACGAGGCGGACGTGGAGGCCCCGGAGGCGGGTTCAACCGTGGCGGCGGTGGTGGGCCCGGAGGTCCCTTCAAGCGCGAAAGAATGTAACTTGGGAGAAAAAATTGTCGAGCCTGAAGCTTCTGGACCTTTTTTCGGAATTACTCGCATGCCCGTGCGTTTCGGCGAATGTGAAAGTACTTCGTTTTTTTTTTTTTGTCTTCGAGATCTGTCTACGAATGTGTATGTGACGACAGCTTAAATCGCCTCTATTAATCCCTGGGTGACCCATTTCTTGGCGATGTGTCGGATGATAAGGAGCAATTCTTTTTTTTTTTTTTTCGGTCAGAAGTTGTGGAAAATTCTGGGTACGAAACAAAGAACGTCTGATTGAGTTCCTACCCCTCGTAATTTATTCTCCTCGTGGAATTATTGCTGCTGGATGATGATTAATGCCCTCTTCCAGATGGTCGTTGAAAAGATTCGCTGTGATTACGACCTTACGTGCGACGACGCAAACCGGAGAATTAGTTTCGATGTTCCTTCTCCGAAAAATGTCCGGGAACCGTGCGCCGAATATTCTGCGCGTATTTTGCGCAAGTACGATTTCCCGATATTTTTGCAAGATGGTAAGTAGAGAGCGGCGGGGGTTTTGTGATCGTCATTTGAAATTTTTCTGGCTGATGCCATTCTTAGCAATGGAAGAAAACGTGCGAAGATTCGTTGAGGACACGGAGAAAGCGACGTGTGAAGATTTCTTTTCCGGGTTCAACGTTGATGCGTTGCTAAGCCAGTCGTCTGATATAGCGAAGAATTGGGCTTCGTGGTTCAATGAAGTAAGCTCAATCATTTCGAATCGCGTCGTTCTTTTAGTTGATCAGAATTTCATATTGAACTAAACCCATTTTAAAACGCTCGTGTGTTCTCGAATTACTTCAATTTTGTATTTCGTTTTTTAAACGTGCTTTCGGAGAGGACAGAAATAAGCCATCCTGGGATTCACCAGCATCATGATAAGACCCGATGACGAAAACGCGATGTTATTACCCATCTCTTAATGTGGAGGCCTTTTCGAAGAAGTCCATGAGATGCAGTAGAATCTCGCTATAATGAATAATCGCTTACAGAGAAGTCGTTTTTCAGGTCCCTGACGAATAGCCGCATTGTTAAGTGCGTTACTTGTAACGAATTTTTAGTTGTAACGAAGTTAACTTAATGGTCTCAGCGGCTTTGTTGTAAGAAAATTTTATTGTCACGTAACACAAACTTTGAAATGTAGGGGTATGAAATCTGGTGGTCAACTGATCAGATGTTCTACCATTTTTCTAGAAATTCGTTCGAACATTTAGAAAACGGGAGTTGAGGCTGAATCAGGGACCTCTAAAAAAATAAACATCATCAGGAAAAAATTTGAGAAATTCACGTGAGGTGTTGCAAGGGTCTCATTTGTCGTCCATGAAATTCTAAAATCCAACTGCACATTTCGGATGGGGTTTCTCGTGTGTCATACTCTTCATCACAACTCATATTCTTCAATTCATTAAACATTACGCCTCCCAATTTCTGAAAGCCAAATACCAGCTGACATAACACTGTATTGAAGGATTTGTCTTCGAAGAGTTGATCTAAATTATTGCAAGTATTTGTAACTAAGAACATTCAGAAAGCTTTCGAAAACTGTTTTTACGTGTTCTTTCCTGTAAGCAATGTTTCTGGTGCCTTAAACAGATTAAAAACTAGCCCTTCTATTATTTTCTTGGGCGGAAATGATGTTTTGTCTTTTTTTTTACCTGAACTTTTGACGTGTCATTACGCAGCATTGCTTAGAATCGCTGTTCATAAGAATTGATCAAATTCTCTGCTAGTATGATTTTTTTCGGTAAATGTGTGTTTTTTCTGCATAGAGGCCGCATTTTCACTGAAATTTTCCTAATTTTATGCTCGTGAAACACTGCGATTTGGTCTTAATTAACGCCTTAAATCGCAGGAAACGAAGAGCAAGAAGACGCGGTGTTCCCTTACCGACGAAGAAATATTTTCTGAAGCCTATCACAACCTTCTGCATTCGGCTCGTTCGGGTTCCGGGGGTTTGGTTCCAATCCTTCAGAAAGAACGAACCACCGCGACAGACCTGGATTCTCTCGTCAAAGACCGCGACAGGGACCTCAGCGAAACCAAAGAAAGACACACGGAAGAAATGGAAACCCTCATGTACCAACTCGAGCTGGGCTCTGTAACCGTGCCGGATGTCAATTCCGCAGCCGAAAAGCATCACCACGAGTGCGAGTCGGCGGAAAAGGCGTGGAATACGCAAATTGCTAGTCTGCATCAAACCCGACGCGACGAGTTCCGGTCTTGGATAATGTCCATGCATTTGGATTCTTACTTATCTGCGGATTCTCAGCCGTCTCCCGGGCTGGACGAAGAAGAGTTTGAGAGATGGAGAGGAACTGAGGGTAGGAAAGGAGGTGCTGGGAAGAAGAAGCAACGGTTTTGGGAGAGTTCTGAGCCGAGTAGCGGAAGAACGAGTGTCATCACTTCCCCGAGTTCGTCGTCGTTGGTGGATTTGACTTTGGAAGAGAGTTTTACGATACAGCTCGGGGCGCAGATGAAACATACGCATAATTTGCGACTCCTTGCTGCTGGGCCTTTCTCCTTGTGTCGGCAGCATCGCATTTTCTCTGTGAGTTGTTTGGTCAGACCTGCGATTAAATCGAATTTTGGTTGTTTTTTGAATCTTTAAAAGCCGATAGTTTTACCGTTCAGTATTTCAAAATAGAAGTCGAATCATTATTTTTGAAATCCGAGACACGTACAAAATTTGTACATACAGGGAGTGAACCTTTTTTGTACAATCCTGCTAACAAAGTAGGGCCCCTATATGTGGGCGCACAATAATTGGTTCTTGGACCTTGTTCCTAACCCGGATTTTCCGCATATCGAATCAAGTTCTCCCTTGGACTTCAAGGGGAACATACTAATTTCTGTTTCTCAGAAATTTTGAAAAAGTCCCCCAAAATTTTGAATACAGTACCACTTCTTCTTAACTTCAAAATTCAGAAGATAACCGTGTTGAAGAAAACCAGACATAATCGGATTTTTGGTGTGAAAGGAGCCCAAAAAGCAAAGAATAAGCGAAAGTTTTGCTATACTGTGCACGGACCATAGAAAAAAAACTCTAAGAAGAGAAGCACAAAATGTGCCCATGTTTGGATTATGAATCATAGTACTGTAAATTTAAAACTGCATTTATTTTGGATTTTTGTGAGTACAGTATCTCAATTAGTTCAAGAGGTATCACAACTTTGAAAAATGAAATGTTCCCATTTTTTTAGAAATTCTGGCTAAGTGTCTGTATCTCGAGACATTGTCTGGATGCTGGGAAGATGCTTTTTTTTTTACGTGTCCCTAAATCGAGTTGTCCATATGTTGGGGCCCCGCTGTACTGTAGTTTTGATCTATGGGTTGATCCCTGCACTTGAAGTTGTTTATCTTGCATAACTCATGTCAGATTTTGTGGATGACATGAATTGTGGAGTGATCTCTTTTTTCCGCAGGAGAAACCGAGCTATCCGGATCCGATAAGGATGCACACAGCCATGTCATTATATTCAGAGAAACTCCACGGTGTTGTGATATTTGTCGACAATAGGATTTCATCCTTCTCAGGACGCAAGCGAGGTTAGAAAAAATCTCTCGAATTTATGAATTATGTGAAGTAATATTCTTTTTCAATTCTTGAATATCGTGAAGTTTGGAATTTAAATAGTCGGTCATTTTTCCTTTCACTGGTTCGGAAAAAATCGGATTTCATGGGTTAAAATGTGTGTTTTTATATTTGCTGTGCTATCGTTTATGTAATTCACCTTCAAGCCTGCATGTCTGTGCACGTTTACTGTTTTTTAGAATTCGCGAGTATCTGCGAAATCGGACCAGAATTTCATTTTGCACCGCTGGAAGAACAACTGGAAAACATGCGAACAAAGATTTTGCCTGAAGCCATGGATTGGCGCAAAGAACACAACACTGCAGAATCCTCTTTGCCGACGAACGGCATGACACAAGGAGATTTCTACGTAACTACCCATTCAAACTTGGAACAGGTTCATGTGGTGTTCCATCTAGTTGCTGACAGCGAAGTGGTGCTTTCTGCTGATGCTGTTAGTTCGAGGCATCCTGTTATATTGGGATTGAGGAATGTTTTGAAGGCGTGCTCGCTTTCCGACATCACTACGTTGTCGATCCCATTGTTTTTGACGCATGAAATGGCGGAGGTTAGTTACACCGTATTTCTTGAGTTCACCACATTTATTTATCCGAAAGCGTCTTTCGAAAATGCTAACTGCTGCCCATAATGTGCTGTACTTGCGATACTGTAATCGTCAATAGGCCGCACCGACTTGAAGAATGCGTCCTGTAGTCGAGATGATGCATCGGGATTGCACCGAATCCGATTTAAAAGTAGGATTGAATAATGTCTTGAAATTTATACTATGGAAAAAAAAAAGAATACAGTAGTTCTGTCCGACTGACCGCTGTTTCAAAGCGAAATAATCTTTTTTGAGCTGAGAGCATGAAAAGAAGGTCACACAAAACGAATTCGAGTCTTCATATTTTGCGCTATTCGCATTTTTTTCTTCAAAATTTCAAATTTCTTTGCGGCCTTTTAAAGTTTTTACTCTTGAGATATTTATCCAATTTAGAAAGCGGCCTGTATTCATTGGAGTGCAATAGTCCAGTACCCCGTGAAGTGTTCACAACTCTGTACAGTAATTGAAACAAATAGCCAATGGATGATACAGGTGGTTTTTCTCCAAAGATTTTTTTCTCTGTAGTAATAGTTTGAGTTCCAAGAATGTTCATCCCGGGAATACCTTCTATCAATTCTTGAGCGGTTTTTGATCACACTTCGTATTTTTCGCATTGAAAACTTGATCATTTTTCGCATTGAAAACTTGATCATTTTTCGCATTGAAAACTTGATCATACATTTTTAAAACTTCTTCAAGGGGCACAAGGTAAACAGACACGTAATTTTTTACTAATTCCAATTGTTGTTTCCGTAGGAAATGACGATTTCGTGGTGCGTGAAGAGAGCTGAACTCGTTTTCAAATGTGTCAAAGGGTTCATGATGGAAATGGCCTCTTGGGGTGGCTCGTTATTGACCACGTTGCAGTTCGTAGTCCCTGAAGTAAATTTTTTTTTTTACTCTTGCTGATTTCTTCCTCGTTTGCGAAGTTTTGTGCTTGAACTTTTTTCCTTTGCTTTTTGAGAGCCTTATTTTTGTGAATCTTGTACAATTTCTTAAATCCTAATTTCTTGATAAAATTTCATCGATTATTTTTTTTCCAATACTGTATACATTCCGAACATTTCCAATGTCTAATGAGATGAAATTATAAAACCCATCATTAGTTTCTATATTCCAATTATGTACAGTATTGAGACGCACTAATCTGCTTTCATTTGAGTTTTCAGAATCATAACAGTTTTTTATATTATTGCGCTATATTTTGGTTGAAAGATAAATGAGCATTTATAATTTACGTCTAACGTTTCTATTTTCGATTAATATGTGTTACTTTTCATTATTCGTTGGGAACGTTATATTTCTCGAAGATTTTCCTGATACTCTGCGAGTTATTCGTATGTGACTTATTGCTTGTTTCGGTGTTTCAGGATGTTTCAGAGAACCTCTTCAACCAACTCACGGCGTTGCTGCCAAGTGTATTCCGAGTCTCAAATCCGCTTGTCATGAAGACCACTGGAAACAAATGAAAGTCGGACAGCCAGCTGGTTGCTGTCCTTGGTGATTTATTTCAAGTGCAAATAATTTATGCTAGCAACGCTATTTTATTTAGGTTTTTCTAACCTGTATGCTTTATTGAGAAATATGACAGATCAGTGCGTATTGTTTTGCAAAAAATCCGTCTTCGATCTGATTTTTCAACATTACTCTTTTTCAATCTGCAGAATGTAATCGGAATATTGCGGTGTCGTAATGTCGTTGTTTGCTGGCGTTCCGTTGCATCGAAGTGATGTGCATATTAGTGATTCGTATGCCAATTTCCTGGAGGTGAGCTCGTGAGCACATTTTAGGGAATCAGCCATTTTTGAAAATGGTATTTATTGCAGGACCTGTGGCAGTGTGAGTCTGCTGAAGTCGAGTCGGTTCTATCGGAGGAAGAAATAGGCACTTGGGATGACCCACGATGTGAAACGTTTTTATCGTGTGAAACGTCCAACTCCGCGGTTTCTTTGGTATGTGCACCGGTTTTCCAAGACGAAAATAAGACGCCGTCAGTTCTGAAACTCTTCTAACTTTTTCAATTTACTAGAACAAATTTTATTTTGCAAACGAACTAAAAATGCAGAACCTACTCTTCCACGAAATGATGGAAGCATCGTTCGGGGTAAATCCTGAAAGGACACCCGTTTTAAAGTGAAATGTATTTGTAAACTCTCAATAAACAACTGCGATTGAAGAAGGATCACTTCAGTGAAAATTTTGGGCAAGTGCTTCACTGACTGCATGTCACTGGGAAAAAAAAATATTTCGATGAAAAATTGGCTATAATTTTTCTTTTGATTTTAACATTTTCTCACGCATAGTTCAGATCATGATTTTAACTCATCGTCGGAGATGAAAAATATTTAGTGAGTTGATAAAAAACAGTGTTAATTGTTTGATTGGTGTCCGATGTTTCTAAGCTCCCCTTATCGAATATTTTGCATGCGAATGTAAGGCGTCGTTTATTCTTGAATGCTGTACTTTCTATGCTGCGTATTTAAAAATTATGAAACGCCTTTCAAATTTTTGCAACTCTGATATTCCGTTGAATTCTTTCATGTTTCTGAAGTAAAACGAGTGTAGAGTACTGTACACAATTTTCAATTTTTATCTGGTCTTTTTCGGACAGATTCCGGGGATCGGGGAACTTCAGTGGCTCTTCAGGAACGATGTCTCCCAGCCTTCTTTATCCGAAGCCTTAGCATCAGAAAGTTCAAACTTGTTCCCTTTCAATGACGTTGACCTGGAAGTTAATTTGGAATGTTCCGAGAACCCTGAAGACAATGTATCAATCATGTGTCATGATGCAGAAAATTTGGACGAATTGATTCCCGCTTGGCACAGTGCATGTGTGCGGCTCGGTCGATTGCCTCGACAGGATTTCTCCTTGAAATTGACCAAAAGTCTACTGATGAAATTGATCTCTGAAGGAGCTGTTGGCAACGTCACGAGTCCGTTTGCCATCGACCTGGTCACTGGAAAGTGAGTGATAAATTCATTGTATCTTTTTTACTACTTCTATTGATTGATTACTCCTTGAAAGAAACGTTGTGCGGACTAATTTGTAAATCTTCACGTCATTTTCAATTGTGTAATATTATTTGTGTTGGTAAAATAAGCAATACTGTATTACAGTAAGATCTCGTTACAACGAACTCAGGAGGCCTGATGAAAATTTTGTGTTATACAGTAGTATCGAAGTTCATTTTATTAAAAGCACTTATGGGAGACATTTTATGTGAAATTGGTAATAAACATTGTAAAGTGCTTCTGCTAAATATAGATTGATGATTTGTCACTATTTCTCTCTCTCTCTGGTGAAATTAAAAGGAAAATTTTCAAATAAACTCCCCTTATTTCGAAAATGCCTTACTTCAAATTCCTATTAATGAGCTGAACTTTTTCAAAAGTAAATGATGAAAAAAAATAGAGTATAAGAAGTATAGTACCGCCTTGCAAAGCCATGTATTCGAGCACTTCCATTTGTCCTTTGAATAAGCGTTACATTCTTCATGACATACTTGAATATTCATGAAAAAAAGAGCCCTCGGAAAATTCTTAAATGAGCCTGATTAAATTCTAAAAAATAACATCATGCTGCGTGTTTTTCGCTTCACCGTACTAAATTTCCTTTTCAAAAAGCTCCGATTTGTAATGAAATTTTAATGATGCACTAGTTGAATCTTTCCCATTTTCTTCACGCGGTGAAATAATCCGTATGGCTCATTCATAGAAACAGGGGAAAAATTCGTTGTACAAAAACCGAAAAACAAAAACGAGATCATAATAACATTGTCTTTACGCAGAAACTGCTGGAATCAAGAAAAAATTCGTTGTCAGCTTGTAACGGAATTTTACTAGATACTGTGCATCGGTACTTCATTTTTGTGTTTTTTTTTCTTCATAAAAATCGGACAGAAAAGTTACGCTCTCGTATTAGAAATTAAGTTTTCTAAATTTTTCGAAGTGGTAGAAACCTTGGTCTAGAAATTCCATAGTAACTTCCATGGTAAATCAAAAGTCCTTGACATGTCCAGTGCGTGAATGATGAGATTTCATTGGGTTTCTTATCGTTCATCATATTTCCGAGGCCTTTGTAATAGTATTTTACTGTATTTCCAGGATTTCAACGAGAGGGCTTTTGGGCGGAACCGTGCTGAGTCCCGAAGCCGTCACGAACGCGTTGGCGTCAATTTTCGAACTGGGTAATGCAGTCAATCAATTAGCATCACTAGGAAGAAAACTTCACAAACGAAACGTCGGATCTCATCATTCTTGGAACCGAGTATTGGCGAATGTGGGATTTTTTGTTCTCAAATACGTGTGCGCGTACCGCGAACTGTCGTGCATTGATTTGCCACACGAAATCAATGGGCACATTTTGGAGGACAATTCTAGAGGACTCGTCGAGTGGAAAATTTCAGCGACGTTGGAGAAGATTGAGTGCTTCGGGCGAAGTTCATCTCTACTCTCCAGTATTATCCTGGATCTGATGAGTCGGATCAAGAAGCTGAAGATTACTACCTCTCTGGAAGTGATACAATTCTTGTGCAATGCTGTCGATAGATCATATGTTTCGTCTGAGCGATGGGTTGCTGTCGGTGTCGCGAAATTCGCCATCGACGCATACATGAGGTAACTTGGTGGTGTACCGTATTCATCTCGGAAATTTATTTGAGTTACGAGTATAGAAGGCATGAAATTATCTCATATTGTCATGCTATTTTTTTTTTACCATTTGATAAAATGACAATTTACAGTAGTCCACATCTTCCCACTTCAAGCTATCTTTGCTTAATTTCATTTTTGTAATATGATAGCATTGTAATGATGTGATGCGTTTAGTGTGAAAGATGTACAGTACTGTATTGTATTCATCTTAAATTATTTCAGTAACGACATATAGAAGGTATAGAATGATTCCATATTACCATGCTATTTTTTACTAATCAATAAAATGCCTATTCACAGAAGTCTTCGGATTCCCACTTAATGTGTAGAGTGAGAAGACAGTAATGAACTATGTCGAGAGAAGCTTGTGCTCTTGTTAAACCGATTGTAATGCGTTGAACCTCGATAACTCGAACATCCCCAAGTCAAAAACCTCTCTAACTCGAATTTTTTTTTTCGACCCAGCATCATCAACCCAAGTTTCCATAACTGGAAACCTAGAAGTCGATAGTTGGTCCCTTTAAATTCGACTTGGAAGAGGTCTAACTGGATTTATAGATTACTGTATTATCCAAGGAGTTGTTCATCTTGGTTCCTTCTATGTGGGAAAAAAGTGCGTCTTTCAATCGTGTAAATACTGTATAATAATCCGTAGAGGCTGACTTTTCCATTGCGGATCAACCTTTTGAACACCATGTAGAGATTTTAAAAACAATTTTAAATTTGCAGTTGCCTGAAGCGGGGGTTTGTTGAAGGAATTGACCTCGACGACCTTCCCGACAAATTCACGGAAGGATCAACATCATGCGAAATCATAAAGAAATTACGAGCCACGGTTTCTTTCAAAGATTCCGAGTTTCTGAATGCTGCCTTGAGACTGTGCGCAGAAACAGTCGGATTAATGAAACGTGCGAACACCGATGTGAGTTGTTTCGTGGGATGTAAAATACCGAAGCATGTAATCGAACATTTTCATCGTGGCAGTTTGAAACCATTCGGGAACTTCAAACCATGGACTTCGCGCCGTGTTACACTTTTCTGGACTTGAGTAGAAGAAAGCGTCAGTTGGCCGCGTTTGAAGATATGGCTTGCGCTGAAATTTTGTCGGTTAAAGATCAACTGGAGGAGGATCGGAGGAAGTTGGAAAGTCAATGGGCAGAGGTTATCGCCAGCATAGAGGATCGAAGTATTGCCGTGCTTCGTGAAATTCGTGGTTCGTGTGGTTTTCTTCTGCTTGACAGGATGAATGCATAGACATTGACGCGGATCACCAGAAATAATTCGGAAGCTTTGTATATACTGTACTGTACTTCAGAAAAGTGTTGTCTATGGATACGAATCCTGGCAAGTTGGGAATGTTTTTGCTTTCAAGAAGAACTAATTTCATAAAAATTTTGAATTTATACTGAAAGAACAGGTACAATAATTGTTTTTGTGTGGACAAAGTTGTCTTATTTCCCCGTCGTCCAATAAACGTAACGTGTTGTATTTCCATTAGATGTGACAAATACTGTATAGCGATTTGAAGGGAAAAGTAGACGACGAGTAACTTTCTGCCATAGATAAATTTGTGGAAATTGATGTGTATTCATTGCTGAGTAGGTTTTGCACAGTTTTATAGATTATAGTTGATCAAACGTTTCTGACCGTCGCTCACGTCAAAGGTCAGTGTAAAACTTCCCGTCGGTCGCAATGTAGCTGTCAGTCAGCACCAAAAAGATTTTAACTTACACTGCGGTTGGAAAATTTCAAATTAAGTGACTGGATATGGGGGAAATATGGTACCCAGAAAAGGTGACGGAAGATGCTCTTTTGATAGAATGTTCCGGTCGACTCATGTTGTTCTTGATCGCCACTAACCCTTGTAAAGCCTCTGGCATTTGCTTTTAAGTACAGTATTTCATTTATTCTTTCTCACTCAGAATTTCAACGCCAGGAAAGTGAGAAGATCTACGAAAGAAAACGAATCGTTTTCGAACAAGCACAAGCAGCTTTGGAGACGTATCAGGTGGAACTTCGTCGACGCAAGGAAGAGGAAGTTTTCCTGGAACTGAAGGCTGCGAAAGAACGTGCAGAGATGGATGCCAAAAGAGCTTCTCGCGAGGCTGCTTTAAAGGATGAAATCATCGCCAAGTATTCAGACAAAAATGACGAGATGGACGAAGAAACTCGTAAAATGAAGTGGCGAGAGAAACGACTGGGTGTGGGTGGAAAAAAAGTGTTGCAACCTGATCAAGCAGCGGAATTTTTCTCGGGGTCTTTGGAGACACTGCCGCAATGGGCTAGAAAAGGAATTGCAGATCCTGCTCCTGTCGTCGTGAAAGGTTCATTTTGTTTACGTCACTTTTTTTTTTGCGTTAAATGGAGCATTAGCGTCGGAAAGTATTTTTTTTTATTAATACCGCATTTATTTCCAAATTCTCCCTTGAATGTTAGAGAATTTTTGCAACAATTCTGCAGATCACATGCTCACTGGAAGCGGTCAGTCAAATTTTCTTGGTTTTCCTCCATTTTTGATGAGTAAACCCAGAATTTGTTGACCCTCTCCTCTCAGACTGTATTTAATAGTGTGTTCTTCAAAATTATGCGGAATGCGAATGACGTATTTCTTGCGTATTAAAAGAATTCTTTTCAATTATTTTAATTCATATTGAGTTGCGTGTGCTTCAAAATTATGGGGATTGCGAATGACGAATTTTCTTGCGTGTAAGACGCATTCGTTTTAATTGGCTAAAAAATTATCTTGGTTATTGATAATTGTTGGCCTCCGTATCTTTAATTGCGTCTTATATTCGCAAGGTAGTTCACGATTGCTTCTAACAGTTCATATTACTTTCAAAGAAATTTGAAGCAAGGTAGGTTTGAAATGAGAGAAGTGCATGTTACATTTTGAAATTTTCCGTGATTATTCAATGAAAACCGGGTTGAAAAGATAATTCTTCACATATATGTCGTGGGAGATACAGTACTTCAAAGCCTTTATCACCTGTTTCCCTTATCATTTTGATCCTAGATATTCCAAGAATCATAAATTTCATTCTAGAAAAATTTAAACTGTACCCTGGGAGTTCTTTATCATTGTAATTGATTTTTTTTTCGATTCTAATTTCTAAAGACCATCGTGGAACTTTTTTAGAAGAACTTTCCATGTTTTATGCCCTGTTGTTCTAAATTTGCAGAAAGGCCCCTCTGGGATAAAGTGGATGGACCAACCGAAGTTCCTCAAGTGAGATTGCCCAAGTGGGCAGCCGACCACGTGACCGTTGAGCCGTTTGACGTGGAGTCCTTTGAAAATCGTGCCGTCGAACGGGTGACAAACCGTGATAAAGTCATGGGAACGGATTTGGATGAGATCCTCCAGCATTCGGACGCTGCCGTTTTCGGGAAAGGGAGATCGTTGGAAGATGCCAAGATCTGCGAGCCGTCTGCTGCTGAAAATTTAGGAAACCAGTCCAAAGACGAGGCTCTCTGCAAGTTTCTTAGTTTGGATAGGACTGAGTCGAATTCTGGAAAGATTTTTGAAATGTTGGAAACCATGGAGCTACCGCGTGATGTTTCTTGGGACGATCCTTCTGTCACGGGCTCTGATCTGAGCATTTCGATAAAAGGTAAGATATGTGCTGTTGTTTCGGAATTTTGGGGATCAAATGGCTGTTATAAGAATGAACTCTCTCTACAATGAAATTCATGGGAGCAAAAGAAAAAAAGCATTGTAGAGAACCCCATACGGAACCGAAAGAAAATTCATTGTACAGAGAATCTACCTGTACACCATGAGGTTATTTTGTAAAACTGATGGACGAAACGGATCCGTGTGTTGCCTCGCATGTCTTGCGTTAAAAATTATTGAGACGCACTATCATGAATTTTCTCATTTTATGTCCTTCATTACTGAGGTATTTTATTTGAATGATCAGATCCCGAAACGGGTTCGGCGGAGGACGGCTACAAGCGGTATTACGAGCAAAAATTGGGAATTCCGGCTGTTGAAGATGCGTGTCTTTTCTCTTCGCTTATTTTCCAATCGATTGCGGTTGAAGCCAAACTGAGGTAATTTTCTCACACAGTACAGTACTGTATATGTAAAATCTTGTGTTGCATTTTTTCTTCAGCTACCTTATTCATATATGCTCTTCTGTGACGGAATCATTCGCTTTTCTTTGCTTGGTTTTTCTAGTTTTTCATTTGTTGGAAAGGTCTATTTGATTTTTACTTGCAGCATTAAAAAATAAGCAACAACTTATTCCGATTAAAGTTTATGGTCTTTAATTTTTCATATTAATGTTCAATTGTCTTTTGGTTTCACAGAATGGATTGAATTTTTCCCCATTAAAGTCTATGGGAAAATGAAATTTGGCTAAAAAAAATTTCAGCTGACAAACTTTTGTCTGGAACCAATTAAGTTTTCTAACTGAGGATCCACTGTACTGTACTTCTTGTATTCCAATGTCTGCAGTTTTTTTTATTATAATTTTTTTTTAAATTCAACAATCCACTATTTTTAGGCTCAAGTAAAAAGTGAATTCTGCAGATAGTGTACTCGTATACTTCACAGTAGATTTTTAAAATCTTTGATACTTTAGATTTCTTGTGCTCCCTGCATTGATCATAATTTTACATGCCTTTACTGTCATAATGCAAGTTGATCAACAGGAGCGAATTTAGTGGCAGTTATATTAACTGTTCTGTTTCCTGTGAAGGAATCTCGAATAAATGAGGCTTACATTTTCTCTCTAATTAATGCAATTGCGAGTTTTCTGCGGATCTTCAAAAGTTGATCATTTTAGGCTGACATTGGTGGATCGGGCTTTTGTGAGTTGGATCCTGAACAAATCTGGTGCTGGTGTTTTGAAGAAGCTGGAATCTGTTTGGACGTTGTTCTTCCTGCAAGATCCCTATGTATCAAGTCATCTTGCCCGAACGCTCAGGGATGAAGTGAGTTTAAAGCACCGTATTTCATTTCATACTGTGTTAGTCGAACGATTTGTATTATTTATTTATGAGACGTGATCTATGCAAGGGAAACATTTATTGGAATGTGTCTTCAAACTGTATTTTTCTAATTAAATCTTGGAAGATTTATGAAATTCAATAAATTTAAGATTTGAATGAGAAAACTTTCTTATGATATAAATCATTAACTGGCACACTTGAAATGTTTTTCTCGAAAAAAAAAAAAATTGGGAATCTAGATAACTGGAAATTTCTCTCGACATATTTCACATGTTGATCTGTTCTGGTTAGCTTTTGATTATTTTTTTTATTCCTGTCCAGTTGAAAATTTGTTTTAAATACCGAAGCAATTTTTCTGCTTTTTTGCGTCATCGGCGTTCGTTTTTGCTTGGAACTCTGGAGTAGAATTGGAAGAAATCCAGAATATGAAATTTACTGTGTCCTGTATTTTGCTCCTAGATTTCTTGCATGCGAAGTTTTGTCAAAAATCCAGTTACGCTTCGTGTTATTTTCTATTCTTCCCAAGAGTTTTCGAAGTTCTGTATTCCCCTTGTATTGGAAAAAAATCGTTGATTCCTTTTTTTCAGGAGTACTGCCAAAAATGGTATTCGAAAGGACGAAGTGTGTATGGAGTTCCAGAACCAGTTTTTTCCCACGTTCTTTGGCAAGAAGCGCTTGAATCATCAGTCGACTGTGATTCTTATACAGACTGTGCAAGCACTTTCAAATTTGCTATACAGCAGCCTCCATTGTATAAAGGTGGTAAGTTCTATGAATTGGCTTAACGGAAACCACCATTTTTTGCTTTTCTGGAATCCTCACTTAATTTTTTTGTACGATGTATTTTCTGCTTAGATTGTGAGCGGTTGCCGAATGCCGTGTTGAATTGCAGTCCCGCATGGCCTCTCGATCTTTTACTGACCCCCGAAAATCTGGAAAAGTACAATAGAGTATTCGTACTCTTGCTGCGACTGAAAATTATTTCAGAGAACCTTCTGGCAGTTTATGCAGCTTTGAAGCAGTTGACAGGTTCGGAATGCTCTGACGAGCTTAAATATATATATATTTTTTTAGTGGATTCGTGTATAAAGTTTAATTTATTTATTGCATTTCAACAGGAAGAAGTAGCCGAGATGCGAAAAACACCTGTGCGGTGGCAAGTAATCCGGAGTACAGATCTTTTCTGGTTCAGCGACTGGAAATGTCGCATTTTGTGTCAGCTTTAATGCAGTTCTTCGAAAGTCAGCAAATTCGAGCCTGTCTTCAGGAGTTCAAGGAAAATTTGATGAACGAGGTTCTATCTTGGAGACATTTTATTCACTTGCATTCTGAAATGGTGGATCGGGTACACTACAGGTAATATTGACATTTTCGGAGGCATTTTTTAAATGCCACTTTATTTTTGCTTTCCGATTATTGCGAAAAGCAGGCGGTTCTCTTCACTTCAGCGTATGACCTTTTTTTTTTAACGGCGGCCAGGAGGTGTATCCCGAATACCTAACTTTTTCAGAACCGACCTGACAATTGAATCTGGCGTGATCTGAACGAATTCAAATTAATCTAACCTAATGTAGGTATAATCTTTGAACAACGAAGTTCGAGGGACCAAAAATAAATTCGTTGTTGAGAACCTAATGGGGCCACACCAAAAAATCGTAATACTGTACAGACAAAATTTTTGTAGACAGTCTTTCCGTTGTCAAATAGAACTTGTACACTATCCAGGTGATCCCCACAGACGACAAAGGATATTTGCTAAGTCTGCGTCATGCCTTTGAAGTTGGGAGACCGGCTCTTTCGTCTAGAGATGAGATATGGAATAATGATATTTTGACGTTTTTAATGTAGTGATCATCAAGAAAAGTTTCGAGATAAGGTTTGAGCCGGGACATTTTTAAAACATGCCCGATGAAATTTCAGATGCCTGTTGGGTAACGACAAACGTTCAGGTTACCTGCTGAGCTTGTTGCATCGAGTTTTGGATTACATCTGCTCGTTT